TAGGGGGGTGCTGCTGGTCACGGTTCACACCACCCCAAGACACACACACACACCCGCACCCCCACACACCCAACACCCAGAGTGACTCCTCTCTCCTCTCAGGTCGGGGTGCTGCTGGTCCCTGTCTCACACCACACACACACCCACACCACCACCAGAACACACACACACAGAGTGACTCCTCTCTCTTAGGTGGGGTGAGCTGTGGTCCCACGGTCTCGCAACACACCCACACAAAGTACAGACAAGAACAGCCCGACACAGACACAGACACAGACACAGACACAGGAACAGACACAGACACAGACAAGAACAGGACACAGGAACAGACACAGACACAGAACGTACACACAGACACAGACACGACAGACACACAACACACACCCAACAATCCCCCCACTACCACCCACCACAACACACAACCCACAACACACAAACACACACACCCACAACCACACACACACCCCCCACCCGAGTGATCTCTCTCCTCCTAGGTCGGGGGGGTGGCATGGTCACGGTTCCACACACACACACAGACACACAACACACACCCCACCGACACCCCCAACCCCCACACCAAACCGAGTGGGATCTTCTCTCTCTCAGGTCGGGGTGCTGTGGTCCCGGTCTCCCACACACACACACAAACACAGACAGGACACCGCCAAGCACAGACACACACAACAGAGTGATCTTCTCTTCTCAGGTGGTGTGTGCCACACACACACACACACACACTCACACACACACACACATACACGTTTTTGTTACCTGGTGGGTCCCTTTGACAGGGCCGTTCAGAATGGGACCCATAGACATAATCTTTTTTTACCAAGACTTTAAGTAATACAAAACAGTCAATAGAAACCAAACAACTATTTTAAAGGAATTTTATTTTAGATTTTGTTTTCGAATTGCAGTGATTCTATTTTTGACATAGAATTTAATGCCACTCCATGTCCGATGTCTAAGGTCATCTGGTGAGGCATTAATGCAGGCCAGGCAGTGAGACTTCCCAGGGACCTTTCCAGTCTGTATGAAAGGTGTCATGGTCTTCTCCACAGCCTTCACCTCAGATGCAGACCATGGCTTTCTTACACGTTCTAGGGAGAGAAATAAAAATATATTAGCAATATACACTCCCAGGGTGAGGACCAAGCAGCCTGGCTGTAATCCCCCACCTGGTACACTTACCAGAAGGGGCACTGCCACTACCATGGGGTGCATCTGGATGAATGGTTGAAGGTTCTCCGCTTGAAGTTTCTTTTAGCCCGTCCGTTTGTGAGAGGATCTCTACTGCTCTCCCTGTCGCACAGAAAATAAAAATACAAGTGGCCTTTAGGGGAAAAAAATCATACATATTTTAATAATATCAAGAATTACCTTCAGGCTCAATTTGTATCTGGTCGAGGCTCTTTCCTTCGAATTCCGTCACTCTTCCCTGCTCCATGGCCATCAACACTTTGCTGATTTTGGCCAGCTCCAGTGTCCCCTCTGGTAGTCTGTAATATTGCCTGTGGATGCGAATGTCATGGCCGAGGAAGTTGGCTAGTATGTCCATCTCATTCTCTTTCATATTGAGAACTGTAGACATAGTAGCTATGTGCTTTCTAAGTTTGGTTGAGGATAGCATCTCTGGATGCACCGCACCACATTCTTTGGCTACCTGGCGTAGGGAGTCTGATCCCCTGATGTGGGTGTCTGCGCCCGGGCGGGAAAAGAAGTATGGGTTATGGTCAGAGATGGAACAGGCCCTTCTGTTCTCCACCAGCACCTCCATCGAAGCAATCATTTCAGGAGTCAAAAGAACCGGCACTTTCCGACTTCTTTTCCCTTTAATTTCAATGCGTTGAAAATGCTGACACAGCTTTTTCTCAAGTTGGGACAGTCCCAGAGCAATGTCAGAATGGATCCCAGTCTTACTTCTTAAGGTAAAGGCTGTCAGTGGCATCTTTGAAACCTCACCTTCCCTTCTTCGATTGAAAATGATGACCTCACAAAGAGTCAAAACTGCCAGTTTAGACCAATGCTTAGACGTTGGCTCACTTATTAGGGTTTGCACATATTCAGGTCGACATACCTCAATATGTGCATGCATGGCTCTAACGTCCTCAGTCAGAGGGAGCAGGTCCGGAGTGTTCCACTTGGCTTGCCGGAGGGTCTGTAGGGCAGCAGAAGAAACACAGACGTCCCACCTCTTCTCAAAAAGCAGCCGGCTTCGTTGGAGGTTTTTAATAAATAGTTCATCAACACAATGCTCCATTTTTGAGTCACATTCAAGAATATCTGCTAGCTTTCTGAGGCTATGGCCGAGTTTGAGGGCCAAGGATGGAGTCTTGTATTGATTTGTTTCCTCATCATATCCAGCCACAGACCTGACTGCATCAATCACATGGTTAAAGTTGGAAGGAATAAAGAAATCCTTCATTGTTTTCAGTTTCCCTGCGGTTTTTGCTTCGTTAATTAACCTACCGACTTCTCTCATTTTCTGCCTAATGTAATCATGCTTAGTCTTATCATGCCCGTGTTTTAAGTACAGGTGCTCTCCGAGTCTCAGAATCCCCTTTTCTGCTTTGACAACACCCGTGACCTCATCCTGATGCATTGCCGAAATTAAAGACCACAGCTTTTTGCTGATGCCCTCCGGTACAGGCTGGGCTAGGGAGCAGAGGGACTGGACCCTACTTCTACCTGGTTTAGCCTGGGCATCTTTCTTTGAAAGCCGGCACCTGGCCACATGCCTCCACAGCGACTTTCGCTTAAGCAATGCCCCACAGTCTATACAGTGCAAAAACTCACTGGATTTAACTGGGGAATTTGGCTGTTTAGCTGGGACTAAAGTTCCAATGCCGGCCTTTAAAACCTCCAAAATTGTGCTCACGGTTTCCACTATTCCTGATCAAATCAAACTGAAGTTTACGTGCTTTAGATTTCACAGGTAGAGCCAATGCTCTGGCTACGTCACTTTCATTTCCATGTTTTCTAGTCAAATGACGGGACATTTTGTGGCAGGACATTGAACAGTAGAGGCAGAAGTGTCTCTTGCTGTATACTCGCCCCCCATTTTTCTTCTTTTGCAGCTGCATGATAACAATCTTATTTGCCTTTGGTTCGTCACTTTCCGAGTCTTGAAGAAAAGTGTTTTTGATTTTTCTTTTTCCATACTTTTTTACAGGTTTCTTCTTGACAGTTAAATCGTCAGAATCTGAGTCGACTTCATCAATTAGGGACTCTTGACTAAGCTGCACAAACAACAAATAATTTGTAATCATTCTATATAACAATTTGAAGTCATGACTTGTAGTCAGCACTTACCAGTGGTTTGTAAGCGTGCGCTTCAGTGTGCTGCTCTGTGATTGGCTGCAGCCTAATGAACCACACACTTGCACCTTTTCTAGCCTGACACCTGATTTCCTCTGTTGTGCTGCTCCATGATTGGCTCCAGCCTCTGTTGTGCTGCTCCATGATTGGCTCCAGCCTGCTGGACTGAAATTGCCCCAGTGTGCCCCTCCTTGATATCCCGCAACCCACCACCAGGGTTCCGACACATAACACACTTTTTTCAGGAAAGTAAACCTCCAGGGGTCCTTTCCATATTTTTACAGAGACTGCATAAGGACCGTTAGAAAAGCATTACCCATTGATTATTAAGCTTGGACCAGTGGGGTCCGGTGTTCGGGCCCCACCACGTAAAACCAGTCCCCATGACGTGAGTGGAATCTCAGGTTATGGAACCCACCAGGAGTTGAAAACAAGTGCACATACTCACACTCACACACAGACACTCACACACAGACACGCACACACAGACAGACACTCACACACAGACACGCACACACAGACACACACACACACACACACACACACACAGACACACACACACACAGACACACACTCACACACACACATACTCACACTCACACACAGACACTCACACACAGACACGCACACACAGACAGACACACACACACAGACACGCACACACAGACACACACACACAGACACACACACACAGACACGCACCAACAGCTGCAGGATACTCTGGGCTACAGCGTCAGATGTACACACACACTCACACACACAAACACAATCAAGAGTCCTTAAAGGGCAGGTGCAGCTGCATGTTTTAGTTCCTACCTGAGCAGACTCAGCCCATTTCCTCAAATCTTCAGGTTAATACCAGTGTGGGCGGGTCCCGGTCCAAAAATGTCCAAAAAGACGTGCGCTGACACGTTGTAATACCACCCCGGGCCTGTGGGGGCGGACCCGGAATAAGAATTAGCCAATGCTAATGTATAGCATCTTCTTACATCTGGGAAATCTATTTACAGGATGGTCCCAAAGTGGCTCTTGGTCCCAAAGTGGCTCTTGGTCCCAAAGTGGATCTTGGTCCCAAAGTGGATCTTGGTCCCAAAGTGGCTCTTGGTCCCAAAGTGGCTCTTGGTCCCAAAGTGGCTCTTGGTCCCAAAGTGGCTCTTGGTCCACCGGTACGTTCCAGATGCTGTCGATGCCAAGTATATTTTTTGGACCAGTCTAGTTTAGCCGCTGTGGACTTCAGAATGCACTCGTGAAAGGAATAGGGGTTGAGGAGCTATCACATTTTCCAGCCCCTGCGGCCATTTTGAAACAATGTGACATCACCAAAAGTGATGTCACATTGAACGGTGGAGATAGACGTGACTGTGTCCGTTGATATTTACAACTGCTGTAAATGATGACCATGTACTACAGATGTATGTAACTAAACAAACTAACAGTCTCCTCTGGTCTCATCTGTCCTCGTCTGTCCTCCTCTGGTCTCCTCTGGTCTCCTCTGGTCTCCTCTGGTCTCCTCTGTCCTCCTCTGGTCTCCTCTGTCCTCCTCTGGTCTCCTCTGTCCTCCTCTGGTCTCCTCTGGTCCTCCTCTGGTCTCCTCTGGTCTCCTCTGGTCTCCTCTCTCAGACCCTCAGGTCCGGGACTTCCTGCTCCTCTCCCGCTCCTCCCTGAACTCCTCAGAGGGGATGCGCCTCCTGCAGACCTGCTCGCTCCTGGTCCAGACCTCGGTCCAGATCCAGCCGGACTTCCTCCGCTCCGCAGCCTCTTGGTTCAGCACCGACGTGGTCCAGACCAACTTCAGCCACACAGGACGAGCGGAGAGGCCTGGTGTGTGTCTGTGTGTGCCTGTGTGTCCGAGTGTCTGTGTGTGTGTGTCTGTGTGTGTGTCTGTGTGTGTGTGTGTGTGTCCATAACTACTTTATGTAAGGTAGATAATCACTATTCTCTATCGTAGATACTGAGAAGAGAGAGAATAATATAATAATGCATCAGTTTTATATAACACTTTTCTGGACGCTCAATGACGCTTCACATGTCATTATTCTTTCTCTCCAAACACGGTGGTGATAGACTAGTGCTGTAGCCACAGCTGCCCTGGGGCACACTGACAGAAGCGAGGCAACCAGTCTGTGCCATCTGTGCCCCTTCCACCACCACCAACCATTCACACACACACCAGACTCATTCTAGGCAATGGGGGTGAAGTGTCTTGCCAAGGACACAACGACAGCAGACAATGGGAGTCGATGGTGAAGGTCGGGCTCGAACCCACAACCCTCTGGCTCAAAGGCCAATGCTCTACCAACTGAGCTACTGTCGCCTTGAAGGAGAGAGAGAGAGAGAGAGTAGAGTTGGTGGAAACAGGGCTATAGCTCCTTCTGTTAAAGTTGTGTGTCTCTGTTCTGGTGCAGATGAGTGGGGGGTCTCTGGCGGCAGCAGTGGGGACCTCTCTGGCTCCGGGGACCCTCGCCTCTCCGCAGACCCTCGCCTCTCCGCAGACCCTCGCCTCTCCGCAGACCCCCGCCTCTCCGCAGACCCTCGCCTCTCCGCAGATCCTCGCCTCTCCGCAGACCCTCGGCTCTCGGGCTCCCCCTGGTGGCCAGCGCGGGTGCAGATGGCGGTGGTGAACACAGTGGCCTTCAGAGGAGCGTGGCACAAACAGTTCAGCTTCGCGCACACTCAGAACCTGCCGTTCACGCTCAGCGACGGCAGCACCATCAAAGTACCCACAATGCACCAGGCCACGGACGTGCGCTTCGGTAACTCACGCCACACGCACAATATTCTCTGGTATGTCTTTGGTCTCTCTCTGGTCTGTCTCTGCTCTGTCTCTGGCCTGTCTCTGGTCTCTCTCTGGTCTGTCTCTGGTCTGTCTCTGGTCTCTCTCTGCTCTGTCTCTGCTCTGTCTCTGGTCTCTCTCTGGCCTGTCTCTGGCCTGTCTCTGGTCTCTCTCTGGCCTGTCTCTGGTCTCTCTGGTCTCTCTCTGGTCTGTCTCTGGTCTCTCTCTGGTCTGTCTCTGGCCTGTCTCTGGTCTCTCTCTGGCCTGTCTCTGGTCTCTCTGGTCTCTCTCTGGTCTGTCTCTGGTCTCTCTCTGGTCTGTCTCTGGTCTGTCTCTGGTCTCTCTCTGGTCTCCCTCAGGTCCCGTTCTGGGCACAGTATTCACAGAACAGTGAAGTTAAAGTTAAAATCCTTCTGTTGTATTAAAATCTCCTAAAGCAGATTCATCACTGGAACAGCACTGATAACACTGGGTAACAAAAACATATGTTTTGAAAATAGTCCAGGGTTTTCAGCTGAATTAGACTAATGTTGATGCTCTGAGTCTGAAAATGACCTTGGTTTTGCTCAATCAGTTCAGGATTTTTTGCTACAGAAATATTTTTTTAAATTGATTTCGCGTAAAAAACAAATTTCTACGGATCATCAGCTGAGAAACCCTTGACGTTTTTTCCGTTTTCCTCAAGAAATAAAAGTCAACGTATCCAAAGTCATTCAGTTTTTATTTACTCCATCAAATTTGATAAGCAGAATTCATAATAACGTAGACATAATCCGTAACACTATGGCTGTATCTCAAAAAGTTGACCTGATAGAGACAAATGCATGTGATATTCGGACTCAGAACACCAACATTAGTCTGAGAAACCCCTGACCATTTTTTGGCTGTCAACTTGTGTAATATTTACTCTACACCTCCCTCTGGTGGCCACTCAGAGACATGACAGGCCGAGAGCATTATCTATTGCCCTTTGATACTTGTTTCACCAGATAATTACCACTGGTCTCTATGGTCTCTCACTCTGGTCCCTCCCTCTGGTCTCACTCTGGTCTCTCTCTCAGGTCAGTTCCGCACTGGTCTGACCCCAGACCAGCGGTACACGGTCCTGGAGCTGCCGTTCCTCGGTCGCTCCCTCAGTCTCCTGCTGGTCCTGCCCTCAGACCGGCGCACTCCTCTCTGGGCTCTGGAGGCTCAGCTCAGTCCTCGCCACCTCTGGTCCTGGGAGGCGGGGCTGAAGAGGAACCGCATGGACATCTACATCCCCCGGTGAGCAGCAAAGCTAATCCAGAGATTCTGTTTTATCATCTGCAGTAAAACCACATTGGAATACTTGTACAAAAGTCCCCAGTGTGCAGCAGACAAGTACAGGAGTAAAACAAACCATCTTAGAACCCAAAACCACAACAGCAGATGGTTAGCCGTGCTTCTAGGTTCATTAATACATGTGTGAAGTGGTTAGCCGTGCTTCTAGGTTCATTAATACATGTGTGAAGTGGTTAGCCGTGCTTCTAGGTTCATTAATACATGTGTGAAGTGGTAACCTGTGCTTCTCAAATCAATAATATATGTGTGGGGGTTAGCTAAGCTTCTAAATTCATTTACACAGACTTTCTGTTCTTTTCTCTGCCTCCCTCTGGTCCCGGCCTCCCTCTGGTCCCGGCCTCCCTCTGGTCCCGGCCTCCCTCTGGTCCCGGCCTCCCTCTGGTCCCGGCCTCCCGGCCTCCCTCTGGTCCCGGCCTCCCTCTGGTCCCGGCCTCCCTCTGGTCCCGGCCTCCCTCTGGTCCCGGCCTCCCTCTGGTCCCGGCCTCCCTCTGGTCCCGGCCTCCCTCTGGTCCCGGCCTCCCTCTGGTCCCGGCCTCCCTCTGGTCCCGGCCTCCCTCTGGTCCCGGCCTTCCCCTGGTCTCGGCCTCCCCCTGGTCTCGGTCTCCCCTTGGTCTCGGTCTACCCCTGGTCTCGGTCTCAGTCCTGTGTGTTTGCAGGTTTAAGATGCAGAATCGCTTCAACCTCAGGTCTGTTTTACCATCGATGGGAATCAGCGACGCCTTCGACCCAGAGACGGCAGACTTCACCAGGATCTCAGGTCAGAGAGAGACCAGAGAGAGACCAGAGAGAGACCAGAGGAAGACCAGAGGGAGACCAGAGGGAGACCAGAGGGAGACCAGATGGAGACCAGATGGAGACCAGATGGAGACCAGAGAGAGACCAGAGGGAGAGACCAGAGAGAGACCATTGAGGGACCACAGAGAGAGACCAGAGAGAGACTAGAGAGAGAAACTGGAGAGGAAGACCAGAGAGAGACCAGTGAGAGAGGCCAGGGAGAGACCAGAGACAAAGCAGAGAGACCAGAGGGAGACCAGAGAGTGAGACCAGAGAGAGACCAGAGTGAGACTGATGTGTGTGTGTGCAGATGGAGGCCTGTATGTGTCTGATGCTTTCCATGATGTGAAAATAGAAGTGACTGAAGACGGGAGCAAAGCAGCAGCAGCGACAGGTGGGTCTTCATGGTCCAGACCAGGTACATTCATCTCTAAACCATCAACGCCTTTTCTGTCTAAAAGCAAAAGTCTCAATCCTGTATCAGTATGATGTCATTGTACCACTATGACATCACACTCAGGGCCGTTTTGACCAGAGTGAGACCAGAGAGAGTGAGACCAGAGAGAGAGGGACCAGAGTGAGACCAGAGAGAGAGGGACCAGAGAGAGACCAGAGAGAGAGGGACCAGAGTGAGACCAGAGAGAGAGGGACCAGAGTGAGACCAGAGAGAGGGACCAGAGTGAGACCAGAGAGAGAGGGACCAGAGTGAGACCAGAGAGAGAGGGACCAGAGAGACCAGAGAGAGAGGGACCAGAGAGAGAGGGACTAGAGTGAGACCAGAGAGAGAGGGACCAGAGTGAGACCAGAGAGAGAGGGACCAGCGAGACAGGGACCAGAGTGAGACCAGAGAGAGAGGGACCAGAGTGAGACCAGAGAGAGAGGGACCAGAGTGAGACCAGAGAGAGAGGGACCAGAGAGACCAGAGAGAGAGGGACCAGAGAGACCAGAGAGAGAGGGACCAGAGAGACCAGAGAGAGAGGGACCAGAGAGACCAGAGAGAGAGGGACCAGAGAGAGACCAGAGAGAGAGGAACCAGAGAGACCAGAGAGACCAGAGAGAGAGGGACCAGAGAGAGAGGGACCAGAGTGAGACCAGAGAGAGAGGGACCAGAGAGACCAGAGAGAGAGGGACCAGAGAGACCAGAGAGAGAGGGACCAGAGAGACCAGAGAGAGACCAGAGAGTGAGGGACCAGAGAGACCAGAGAGAGAGGGACCAGAGAGACCAGAGAGAGAGGGACCAGAGAGACCAGAGAGAGAGGGACCAGAGAGACCAGAGAGAGAGGGACCAGAGAGACCAGAGAGAGAGGGACCAGAGAGACCAGAGAGAGAGGGACCAGAGTGAGACCAGAGAGAGAGGGACCAGAGAGACCAGAGAGACCAGAGAGAGAGGGACCAGAGAGACCAGAGAGAGAGGGACCAGAGTGAGACCAGAGAGAGAGGGACCAGAGAGACCAGAGAGAGAGACCAGAGAGACCAGAGAGAGAGACCAGAGAGACCAGAGAGAGAGGGACCAGAGTGAGACCAGAGAGAGAGGGACCAGAGCGACCAGAGAGAGAGAGTAATGTCTGTAAATATTGTTTGGTAATTTTTTTTTAAATCTTCTCTCTTCTTCTGCAGCGATGGTTTTACTGAAGCGGTCCAGAGCTCCTGTGTTGAAGGCGGATCGGCCGTTTCTCTTTTTACTGCGACAAAGTAAAACAGGTGATTATTCTGACCACAGTCACTTCAAAGTAACCAGGTGTCAACCAGTCCTCAAGAGGGCTGCGGGTTTTCACTCCAACCAAGCAGGAGCACAGCAGACTCCACCCATTTGCTCAAGTGAGTCCAGTCTGAACCTGAGAGACTGGAGGAAAATGGTGGAGTCTGGTCTCTCTGTGGTCCCTGTCCTTCGGTCTGGTCTCTCTGTGGTCTCTGTCCTTCTGTCTGGTCTCTCTGTGGTCCCTGTCCTTCTGTCTGGTCTCTCTGTGGTCCCTGTCCTTCTGTCTGGTCTCTCTGTGGTCCCTGTCCTTCTGTCTGGTCTCTCTCTGTGGTCCCTGTCCTTCTGTCTGGTCTCGCTCTGTGGTCTCTGTCCTTCGGTCTGGTCTCTCTGTGGTCCCTGTCCTTCTGTCTGGTCTCTCTGTGGTCCCTGTCCTTCTGTCTGGTCTCTCTCTGTGGTCCCTGTCCTTCTGTCTGGTCTCTCTCTGTTGTCTCTGTCCTTCTGTCTGGTCTTTCTGTGGTCTTTGTCCTTCTGTCTGGTCTCTCTGTGGTCTCTGTCCTGTCTGGTCTATCTGTGGTCCCTGTCCTTCTGTCTGGTCTGTGGTCCCTGTCCTTCTGTCTGGTCTTTCTGTGGTCTTTGTCCTTCTGTCTGGTCTCTCTGTGGTCTCTGTCCTGTCTGGTCTCTCTGTGGTCCCTGTCCTTCTGTCTGGTCTCTCTGTGGTCCCTGTCCTTCTGTCTGGTCTCTCTGTGGTCCCTGTCCTTCTGTCTGGTCTCTCTCTGTGGTCCCTGTCCTTCTGTCTGGTCTCTCTCTGTGGTCTCTGTCCTGTCTGGTCTCTCTCTGTGGTTCCTGTCCTTCTGTCTGGTCTCTCTGTGGTCTTTGTCCTTCTGTCTGGTCTCTCTGTGGTCCCTGTCCTTCTGTCTGGTCTCTCTGTGGTCCCTGTCCTTCTGTCTGGTCTCTCTGTGGTCCCTGTCCTTCTGTCTGGTCTCTCTCTGTGGTCCCTGTCCTTCTGTCTGGTCTCTCTGTGGTCCCTGTCCTTCTGTCTGGTCTCTCTGTGGTCCCTGTCCTTCTGTCTGGTCTCTCTGTGGTCCCTGTCCTTCTGTCTGGTCTCTCTCTGTGGTCCCTGTCCTTCTGTCTGGTCTCTCTGTGGTCCCTGTCCTTCTGTCTGGTCTCTCTCTGTGGTCTCTGTCCTGTCTGGTCTCTCTGTGGTCTCTGTCCTGTCTGGTCTCTCTCTGTGGTCTCTGTCCTGTCTGGTCTCTCTGTGGTCCCTGTCCTTCTGTCTGGTCTCTCTGTGGTCCCTGTCCTTCTGTCTGGTCTCTCTCTGTGGTCCCTGTCCTTCTGTCTGGTCTCTCTCTGTGGTCTCTGTCCTGTCTGGTCTCTCTCTGTGGTCCCTGTCCTTCTGTCTGGTCTCTCTGTGGTCTTTGTCCTTCTGTCTGGTCTCTCTGTGGTCCCTGTCCTTCTGTCTGGTCTCTCTGTGGTCCCTGTCCTTCTGTCTGGTCTCTCTGTGGTCCCTGTCCTTCTGTCTGGTCTCTCTCTGTGGTCTCTGTCCTGTCTGGTCTCTCTGTGGTCTCTGTCCTGTCTGGTCTCTCTCTGTGGTCTCTGTCCTGTCTGGTCTCTCTCTGCGGTCCCTGTCCTTCTGTCTGGTCTCTCTCTGTGGTCTTTGTCCTTCTGTCTGGTCTCTCTGTGGTCCCTGTCCTTCTGTCTGGTCTCTCTCTGTGGTCTTTGTCCTTCTGTCTGGTCTCTCTGTGGTCCCTGTCCTTCTGTCTGGTCTCTCTGTGGTCCCTGTCCTTCTGTCTGGTCTCTCTGTGGTCCCTCTCCTCTCTGGTCTCTCTCTCTCTGTTCTCTCCCCCTCAAATATGATTAGAACATTCATATTAAAATATATCCAACTATTGCTTCCCGGCTTCCTGAAGATTGTTGACATTCCTGCGGTGATCCTTGACACTTCCTGATCCCGAAGCCCCGCCCTCTTCACGACAACTCCATAGTTTACTCTACCATGTGGTCTCCAGAAGATTCTTAAAAGTTACGTAGCATTGCTTTAGTGACGTGTGATCTGTGTGTTTCAGGTTCTGTCTTGTTCATGGGGCGAGTGATGAACCCAGTCGACCAATCGTCTTGAGTCTAGTCTCTAAGCCCCGCCCCCTTGCACGCTGGTATTTATTCAGACTCCAGGAAGAGTTTATTTTGTACATATCTGTAAATAAACTTTTACATGTTTTTACTCAAAGTTTCTCGTTCTTTGACTTCATGAGAGTCCGAAGAGTGCAAGTGTCTCAGTTATGAAAAATACTTTTGCAAAACATTAAACTGGTAAATTAGTCCACTTTCTTTTAAACATCCTGGTTTCTCACAAACCTCTCCCCACATGGTATTCACTTTATACACACGTTTATAGAAATCATCTCCATCTTTGATCTGTTTAATGTCAACTGTAAACCAGAGAGACCAGAGAGAGACCAGAAAAAGAGACCGAACAGAGAGAGAATAGAGTCCAGAGAGAGACCAGAGAGAGACCAGAGTGAGACCGAACAGAGAGAGAGTAGAGTCCAGAGAGAGACCAGAGTGAGACCGAACAGAGAGAGAGACCAGAGTGAGACCGAACAGAGAGATCCTCCTGTGGAGCTTGAACTAAAAATGACTGAAGCACAGATCGTTGCCAAAGCCAGAGACAGATGTAACTTTATTTACATGGCCCTTCACAGTAAAATAGAAACTTTATTCATGGGGAATACTTACAAAAGGCCGTTCCCTCGAACACATTCTTAAATAGTTTTTCTCGACGTATTTACAATTTTACAGTGTATTCAAAATACTCTTTTGGTAACATCCACAACTCACAACACGTATGGCAGATTTTGGTCCCTGTCCAAGAAACAAGCGAAAAACTACCACGACACCGAAGAAACTCTCAAAAGCAGAACTCGGCAACAAATGTGCAACAAATGTGCAACAAATGTGCAGCAAATGTGCAACAAATGTGCAAATGTGCAACAAATGTGCAACACACGATTTTACAGTATTACAACTGTTTTCTTGTCAAAAAAGGCAGAGTTGGTCTGGCTCCTCAACGCTCAAGTTTCCAATGAATCCCAGAAAGAGAGCAGAGAACGAGAGGTACACCAGAGTGAGAGAGGGACCAGAAAGAGAGACACCAGAGGGAGAGAGGGACCAGAGAGAGGGACCAGAAAGAGAGAGGGACCAGAGAGAGACACCAGAGGGAGAGAGGGACCAGAGAGAGAGACCAGAAAGAGAGAGCAGAGAGCGAGAGAGATCAGAGGGAGAGAGAGGCACCAGAGAGAAACCAGAGAGAGAGAGGGACCAGAGAGCGAGAGAGACACCAGAGGGAGAGAGACCAGAGGGAGAGAGGGACCAGAAAGAGAGCAGAGAGCGAGAGAGACCCCAGAAAGAGACGAGATAGAGACCAGAGAGAGAAAGAGAGAGTTGATAAGTGCTGACAAAGAGAAACCTCCAGATCCTTCAGCATCAGTCGCAGAGTTCTGCTTTTACAGATTGACGAGTTTCGAACCCGAGGTCTTTTGAATGTTTACGGTGTGTTTCTGCTCGAATCCCGGGGATTGGGTTGAAAAGTACAAAGTGTTCAAACGTTCAGAGCGAAGGTGGAACAAAAGTTTAAAATTATTGTTGAAATGCGTTTGTGGAAATGAAATGGCATCAAGTCCTTTATTTAATTCTTATTTATTTCTATATTTCAGCCTGAGTGGCAGCACACGGGGGTCTGGGGGCGGGTCTATGGACCAATGCCTCCCATGGGTTTGTTATCATTGATTCTCTAATCTGTGGTTGAGGAATCGACAGCTTTGTGAAGTCCTCCGAGATGCCTTCTGTTGTGGCAAATTTCAATATGAAAAAACTGAAAACTTAGGCTTTTCCACGTTAGAATCGATCCAATGTTTTTGCAAAGTCTCATGAGACAGTATTACTGGTTCTATTGGAAAAACTTAAGACCAGAGAGAGACCAGAGAGAGACCAGAGAGAGAGACCAGAGAGAGAGAGAGAGACCAGAGAGAGAGAGAGACCAGAGAGACACCAGAGAGACCAGAGAGAGAGACCAGAGAGAGAGACCAGAGAGAGAGAGAGACCAGAGAGACACCAGAGAGACCAGAGAGAGAGACCAGAGAGAGACCAGAGAGAGAGACCAGAGAGACACCAGAGAGACCAGAGAGAGAGAGAGAGAGAGACCAGAGAGAGACCAGAGAGAGACCAGAGAGAGAGACCAGAGAGATAGACCAGAGAGACACCAGAGAGACCAGAGAGAGAGACCAGAGAGAGACCAGAGAGAGAGACTAAGAGACTAGGGTTCGAGACCAGAGAGAGATCAGAGAGAGACCAGAGAGAGACCAGAGAGAGAGACCAGAGAGAGACTAAGAGACTAGGGTTTGAGACCAGAGAGAGACCAGAGAGAGAGGCCAGAGAGAGAGGCCAGAGAGAGACCAGAGAGAGTGACCAGAGAGAGTGACCAGAGAGAGAGGCCAGAGAGAGGCCAGAGAGAGGCCAGAGAGAGAGGCCAGAGAGAGAGGCCAGAGAGAGACCAGAGCGAGACCAGAGAGACCAGAGAGAGACCAGAGAGAGACCAGAGAGAGACCAGAGAGAGGCCAGAGAGAGACCAGAGAGAGACCAGAGAGAGTGACCAGAGTGACCAGAGAGAGACCAGAGAGAGACCAGAGAGAGTGACCAGAGTGACCAGAGAGAGACCAGAGAGACCAGAGAGAGATATATGAACCATGTTAAAAACCCCCTCCACTCGCCCTCATATGGCACCACTCGGCTGAAACTGCACATTTATGAATCATTTTAAAACGTTCTCAGTATAAACGTGTTCCGTCCGTGCGGTGGAGTGCTCAGCTCTTGGAGTGTGGTAAAAAGTGCAATTTTTTTCCCTCTGTCGCAAAACCAAGGACACAGAGAATCACCTTAAGACAAAAAGTTGTGGAATCGCGGCGTTTTCTGCGTCGGATCCGAGTCGACCCTGAGTTTGACTGGAACATACAAAAACGACGTCTTCGAACAGCGTCTCCACTTCTCTGTCGGTAATTATTAAAACGGCTAAACGTAGCGGTTGCTAATGTGTTAAATTATTGTCATTCAGACCCCAGTGCGAGACCAGCCGCCAGAGAAGCCAGTGCCAATGTCAAAAACCAGGACCAGGGCATTTGAAAATCAGTCAAAAACAATGGATTTCAAACCGGATTCCAGGCAGCTCAAATTCAAGACCTCAGAAAAGCTAATCCAGCCGTTTTAAAGCTAGGGTACGTAACTTTCAGACCACACACACACACTGCTATACGCATTAAAATCCAGGTCACTAGTTCCGGGCCCGAAAACACTTCCATCTCTAGTTTTCGTGTGTTTTTTAGTCACATCTTTAAAATCAGCTTTTTCAGACGGACAAGTGAGACAGAGAGGACCACCCTCTTTCAGCCAATCAGCTCTCACACGGCTCTAGCTCGGTCTGATTTGTTCACTCCCCCCCCCCCCCCTTCTTTCTCTCTTTGTTAAGTTGTATATATCTGTAAAGTTACGTACCCCAGCTTTACCAACCTACCTTTACTTCTGGACCCAATTCCAAAAACAGTGTCCAGAAAAAGAAATTTTGATTTGAGACTAGACCGTCTCTCTCTCATTCACTCTCAAATCTACCACTTCAGTCAAGCATTTATAAATTGTTTTTTATATTTCAACATTTACTGGATCTTAAAGGTGGAAAACGTACCGATATTTTGGTCAAAGTTAGCGATTTTAAGGCCTTGATTTTGGCTCCATCAGTTTGGGTCTATCACTGTGGTGTATTCCTGGTTTGACAGTAAAGGTTTCCACCAGCCCCACTTGGCCCCACTCTACTCGGCTCTACCCGTCTCCATTACGCTTTTGCATCTGGTAGCATAGCCTAGCAAGCTACCCACAACAATAGGTAGGTTAGCCATGGTTAAAAACAGGGGAAGTTGCTTCATAACCACGGCTTCCAGCAGCTTAAAAACTTACACTGAAAATAATGTGAATTATGGGGAAATAGTTGCTTGAATCGAGTGTTTTTTTTTATTTTGAGCACATTCTGACTGTATTAAAATGGATAGAACCAGGGCCCAAGAGGGACTATAAAGAAGTACCTGGTTCTGGTTTAACAGGACCAGTGGAGACGCTACAGATGTGAGTAGAGTAGAGTAGAGTAGAGTAGAGAGGTGGTGGAAATGAGGCTGTTTGTGCTTTTGGATCTCCGTCAGAATTCACTCCAACGATAATAAAACGTCTCCAGTTTTGACCCGGTTCGGTCCAGTTTGACTTCATCTTCGAGACACTTCCCAATATGAAAAGTTGCCAGTACTCGAGAGAACAGCCGCTGGGTCTGGGCTCGGGTTTGGGCTTGGGTCTGGTCTGTGGGGTCTCAAAAGTCCGAGTTTTTTTTCTTATTGATGGGAAAAACCTGGTCTCAAAGTGCGTCCACGTGGTTCAGACTGATGGATCTGTTGTGGATTTCCTCCAAGAAGTTCTCCAGCTGCTCGATCAGAACCCTCTTCTTAAACCTGGACAGAGAGGACAGGTCAGAGGACAGGACAGAGGGGACAGGACAGAGAGGACAGGACAGAGGACAGGACAGAGAGGACAGGCCAGAGGGGACAGGACAGAGGGGGCAGGACAGAGGGGGCAGGACAGAGGGGGCAGGACAGAGAGGACAGAGGGGACAGGACAGAGAGGACAGAGGGGACAGGACAGGACAGAGAGGACAGAGGGGACAGGACAGGACAGAGAGGACAGAGGGGACAGGACAGAGAGGACAGAGGGGACAGTACACAGAGGGGACAGAGGGGACAGGACAGAGAGGACAGGACAGAGAGGACAGGACAGAGAGGACAGGACAGAGGACAGGACAGAGAGGACAGGACAGGACAGAGGGGACAGGACAGAGGGGACAAGACAGAGGGGACAGGACAGAGGGGACAGGACAGAGGACAGGACAGAGAGGACAGGACAGAGGGGACAGGACAGAGAGGACAGGACAGAGGGGACAGGACAGAGAGGACAGGACAGAGAGGACAGGACAGAGAGGACAGGACAGAGGGGACATGACAGAGGGGACATGACAGAGAGGACAGGACAGAGAGGACAGAGGTGACAGGACAGAGGGGACAGACCTAGCGGCTTCTTTGATGATGTTCTGTAGGAAGATGAGCCGCGTGTCCAGAGTGCCCTGGATCTGTTTCAGGAAGTGGAAGATTTTGTCGTGATCTGAAAAAATATGGAGAACATTTAGTCAAATCAATGGTTTTTATTGATTTACACCTGAGACATAATTGACCCCTCCCTCTGGCCTCTCTCTCCCTCCCTCCCTCTGGCCCCTCTCTCCCTCTCCAGCCTCTCTCCCTCTGGCCTCTCTCCCTCCCTCCGGCCTCTCTCCCCCTCCCTCCGGCCTCTCTCTCCCTCTCCGGCCTCTCTCTCCCTCTCCGGCCTCTCTCTCCCTCCCTCCGGCCTCTCTCTCCCTCCCTCCGGCCTCTCTCTCCCTCCCTCCGGCCTCTCTCCCCCTCCCTCCGGCCTCTCTCTCTCCCTCCAGCCTCTCTCCCTCCAGCCTCTCTCCCTCCGCCTCTCCAGCCTCTCTCCCTCTCCAGCCTCTCTCCCTCTCCAGCCTCTCTCCCTCTCCGGCCTCTCTCCCTCTCCAGCCTCTCTCCCTCTCCAGCCTCTCTCCCTCCGGCTTCTCTCTCCCTCCGGCTTCTCTCTCCCTCCAGCCTCTCTCCCTCCAGCCTCTCTCCCTCCAGCCTCTCTCCCTCCAGCCTCTCTCCCTCTGGTCTCGCTCCGGTCCCTCACTCACGTCGCCCGGGCTTCCTGATCTCCTTGGTGATGAGTGCTCTCAGTTCGTTGTTGACCTTCGCCGTCTCGCTCTGGATGTGTCTCTTCAGCGTCAGAGGAGACGGGTAACGTGACAGCGGCTGCTCCTCCTCCTCCTCCTCCTCCAGCCGCACCTCCTCTTCGCTCCCCTCCTCCGGGCCCTCCTCGCTCTGGGCCACTCCGTTCCCCTCCTCCCCTGTGTCTTTGGGGGAGTGTGGGGGAGGAGCGGAGTGAGAGACGTGGTTCTCTTCACACTCGGCGTCTGAGAGATCGTCGCAGTGATTCTCGTTCACGTGGTTCAGGACGAGGTCGGGTTCGGGAAGGCAGTCGCTGAGATCTGAAGAAACAACATTAGAAAAATATATATAAATGTGTTGATCCACGTAGAGAGATGCCCGCTCCGCATTTGACCCACTCGCTTGGCCGCGCTTTGACTTATCAGGTAGAGCGGAGTCAGAGCGGGAAGGAAAGGAGCAGAGTTTGTGGCAGTAAAGTGTGGATTTAAAGAAAATATTAGTATTAGATAGCAATATGGCCTACGTGCAGGACTGTACAAGGACTCTACAAGGACTCCATGTTATGACTATGATTTGACTGTCTCTTTGTGACACGTATGTCTTTCGATGTGTGACGTGACAATGACTATATAAACTGTGTACTGCCTTTATTCTGTCTGGGAGAAAGAAACAGAGTAAACCAGTGGAACTTGAGAGAAACTTAAATAAACTTCCAGAGTTTGGCACACCACGATCCGTCTCTGTCTGCTAAATCCTAACAGATTTGGTGGAGAATGCGCGGCTCAGTGTGTGCCATTCTCTGGATTGTTTTGAGGGAGTTTTGCTCTGTTTCTTTTCCTCTGCGTGAGAGATCGGCATGCTGTGTCTGGGAGCGGAGATTCCAGCAGGCTGGAAGAGCTGTTCCTGGATGCTTCTTGTCGCTTCTGTCACTTTTGTTTTTTAAATTGAATTTTTCGACGCGGAAAAGATGTTGGTCGACCTCTCGAACAGTCCGGACAAAGAAAATAAGGTAAGCAGACACCTTTTTTAATATGTAAAGTCTGCATAATTGGATACTAGCTAAATTTTGAGCTGTCCCGGAGGTCTGTCCAAATCTCTCTAAATCAAATTTTCTTTGTTGTGTCTTTGTCACGTCTTTGTCATGTCTTATGTTGTAGAAAACAGGTTAGCTGTGTGGGTAACCAGTCCCTATAGGAAAAAGGAACCCCTGACGTATCGGGGTCCCTGTCCTTTGAAGTAGTCAGGACAGAGAGAAAAAGGAACCCCTGACGTATCGGGGTCCCTGTCCTTTGAAGTAGTCAGGACAGAGAGAAAAAGGAACCCCTGACGTATCGGGGTCCCTGTCCTTTGAAGTAGTCAGGACAGAGAGAAAAAGGAACCCCTGACGTATCGGGGTCCCTGCCTTTGGAGTAGCCGGGGCAGAGAGAAAAAGGAACCCCTGACGTATCGGGGTCCCTGCCTTTGGAGTAGCCGGGGCAGAGAATAGAGAATAGAAAATAGTTAGTGAAACCATGGTGTAGAATTAAAAGTAATTATAAAAAGGGAAACGTTAAACACTAAAGAGTGCCTTTTGTTACTAGTGTGGAAAGTGATCACTTCTAGATTTGGATGACAAAAGTATAAAGAACAACATCAGTTATATTCGCTTAACAAAGTAATCTTGAAAGTTATTCTTCTGTATCTTTTTGCCTGTGTGTGTGCGTCGCTCTATCTGCTGCCGTTGTCAGGGAAACGGCCCCCTCCTTCGCTGCTCTGGCTGTGAATCTGAAGCAAAGCTACTGCTTTAGGACTTTTGGCTTTTCATAGTTGTTATTCCGTTAAATTTGCTAAATTTGCCATTTGAACATTGTGTTAGACACAGTTAAACGTTTTTAAACACCATTAGGGAATAGAAGTTTTGAATTAGTATGTTTTTGAAACCCAAAGATTAGTACAAAAAGCTTTGCTTTTCTTTTTAAATCTGCTGCTTATTTTGTGAGTCCATTATTGTATCTCTGATATATTTCATAGCTGTTTGTGAGAATTTTTTTATGTTTTTTATTTTAGTTACAAAAGCCGTTTTTCAAACATTTAAATTAGAATCTGTTAAAAGTGATTAATGATTGTAGACTTCGTCTAAAAAAGAAAGAGGGAATTAGGCTGTAAAAGTATTATATTATAAGTTATACCCAGTTGGGAATTAAGTACCCAATTCACATGCAAGTGGTGACTTTTGTTTTTGTTTTGACTACACGCCTGACCTTGTTGCTCCTGCTGATGCCACAGCAGAGGAGACTGGTCTAAAATGTGCTCCAATTCATACTGACTTCATTTGAAAAATGCTGCAATTATTTTAAATTAGTAAAATATATGCTGAGATAAATGCATAGATAATTAAACACACAGTACAAAAGTATATAATACATGTTTTAAAGTTTAAAAGGTTGTTTGTTTTGAGTATAATTGTTGTTTTGATAACTTCTTTAGTTTTCTGGTTTTAAAATGTCATCATTAGTAAGATAATAAGTAATCTTTATTTACATAGCGCTTGGGAAAACCCAGAGCGCTCAAATTGTTTTTACTTCAGAGAGAAAAACAATCTCATTCACAATCTCTTGTTTTTTTAATTTGACTATAAGGTTGTTTTCCAGAACCAAGAGCACACACTGTACAGGGTCACTGGACTGCTGGACACTGGACAGCGCAAAGCCCACCCAGCCACAGGTCACAGATCAAAGAGCAAAGGAAAATGCCACCTCCTTGCCCCTCCCCACGCCACTGCAGAACTGAGTGGGTGTGAAGAGAGACCGGAGGCCATGATGGGTGGAGCGTCAGGTGAGACCTGAGAGTTGAGAGTGTGTCCAGTTGGTTTGCATCACCACAGTGTGACCTTTGAGACCTACAGGTGGTTCGAGGAGTCTGGAGAAACAACCCCAAAATTCACATACACACACACACACACACACACACATACACTCACACATTCACATTTACATATAGATACATGAAAAAGCAGAACATGAGAAAAAAGCATTTTAAAAGTTTACTCCAATGTAAACACATATTTTTAATTGTCTATCACTTGAATCTTTACTTGAATCAGTATTTTTTGAGACCAGAAATGTGCATTTGAATTCTATATTGTCATGGACTTAATTGACGTCTGTCCTGACACTTTTGATTTGTTGATTTTGTACTGTGTGAAGTAATTACATTGATGAGAATTAGATCTGATAAAAACACAAATTAGAGAAGTAAACTGCGCTTGCTTTTTGTCTGAGGGACATTAGCAACAGCATGAATAGAAATTGTGTTAAAGTAGAATCAAAGTGACTTAACCATAGAAGTAACTATTGCATTACAAGCTGTGTACAGGAACTGAGACACTGCACCATTGACCAGAAGTGCATCGCAAATGACCTGATGTGCTTCAAGTGAAAAGACTGTATCTGGAGATCCTGATGTGCATCTGGAGAGACCAGAACCATGGCTTGGACCCTACTGATGTCCAAGATGACATCTCTCGAAATATGACCTGACCTGATGACGACTGAGACTCACCCTCAGGGGACCCTGAGGACCCTGAGGACCTGAGGACCTGAGAGAAAAACTGGGGAGTGATGTTTATATTATTGAAATCATACATTGATGAGTGCTAAATGAGAGAGATACTCATGATTCTTTCTTTTGTTTTTGTTTGTCCCTAGCTTCTGGACATCTGATGATCTATTGGACACAGCCATTTGCAGAACAAGAACCAGCCAATGAAAACGTCTATTGCCGATGCTATTGCTACAACCAGAACCTGTGACAAATGCAATATACATGTTAAGTATTCAGACATCTGACAGACAAAAACTTTGACTTTTTTAGTCTGGGAGACTGAGCAACTGTTAAAATGTTTTAAAATGATAAAGTATGAGTATTGTAGCGTTTTAGTAGATGTTAAATAGTAGTAAAAGAGTAGAATTTGACTTCCTTTGTTTTTCATAAACATTTCCACATAAGAGTTAAAATAGTACCCTACAATGTTATCCTTTTGATAGATCAGCTATAATATTAGAATCAGAATTATGTTACAGATATTGAAAGTGACAGAAGTCACAAACTAGGAATATGCCTTTGCTCAAGCTGCAACCGAGCTTTTGAGTTAAAAAATAGAGTAAAAATAGGAATAGATAAATGCATCAACCATAGATGCTTTCAAAAATAGAGAATATTCTTAGCCAGTGCTAATATCAAATGGTAAAGGGACCATTTCACAAACATTTACTTCAAAAGTAGATAAAGTTAATTACAGTTTATGTACAGTTTTATTAGATACTGCCAAATTCACTTGTGTTCACACATGAGTGAATGTTGACAATGCAAAAAGTCCATATGAGTGTAGCCTAGATTAATGCCTAGATCAATGAGATAGATTAGAACCAACAGAGATTCAAAAGCATTTAAAAGCATTTTGATGTATTTGGGTATAGCACAAAAACACAATAGTAGATATTTAGATATTGAGAAGTTTCCAGCACAAACACCATTGTAGAATAACTGACCCCAACCCCAAACCTGCTAAAATAGATTAGCTCTTGTAAGGATAGTTCTAATTTGATTAAAGATGTACATTCATCCCAAACTGCCTGACAATAATATCTTTAGATAATAAAAAGTAATAAATCACTGACCACTATAGAAGTGTAAATGTTGACCATTTGCCTTACTGTGTTCACAGTTTTATTCCTGAGAATGAGAATAGACATGGAGCAAAATCCCACTGATAATATGCCACTGATAATGAGAGTAAAACCACAGAGAGATTTATTAGATTAAAATGTATGTTTAAGAATATGGCTCAATAGAAGCAAATATGCAAACATATTTGTGAATAGATTAGAATAGTTTTAAACTATAGTGAATAGTAAAAGTAAAGTACACAGTCTAAGATTAAAAAGTGAAAATAATACAGTGAAATAAGTGAAGTGTAAACAATTAGCATTAGAATAAAAGTATAGAGTAATAAAAGTGAAATTAGCTTCTAAATTGAGACTCAGCTCGTTTTTGTCTGTGTTTTGACTGAATCTGCTGAGTTCTTGTGTGTCCAATAGTTTTTGTTTGTTTTTATTTTTGATTTGTTTTTGTTTTTGTTTTTTTTGTTTGTTTATTTTTTCCCAGGATAGAGGATAAAATCCACTGATATTGATTTGATGATTATGAGTTTAATGCATACATTTTCTTTGTTTTTAATAATTTTTTGAAGTTTTTTTTGGAATTTTTTTTTTTTTTTTTTTTCTTTTTCCATTTTATTGATTGATCGATTTGAATGATCACATGTGATTATGTGATCAAAGGGGAGGGTGTTAGTATTAGATAGCAATATGGCCTACGTGCAGGACTGTACAAGGACTCTACAAGGACTCCATGTTATGACTATGATTTGACTGTCTCTTTGTGACACGTATGTCTTTCGATGTGTGACGTGACAATGACTATATAAACTGTGTACTGCCTTTATTCTGTCTGAGAGAAAGAAACAGAGTAAACCAGTGGAACTTGAGAGAAACTTAAATAAACTTCCAGAGTTTGGCACACCACGATCCGTCTCTGTCTGCTTGAATCCTAACAGCCTCTTCAAATACATTGTTAGTTGTATGGATGTAAATGGGATTGACCAGAGCATCTTCATGAGATTAAAGCCACCGCGCTGGTGGCATTGCTGTTCAGGTCAATGCCTTGGCAGTAACAACAGAGTATTCTGCAGGGGTCTAGACGGCGGGCTTTCATTGAGAGCACAAGGGCATGAACAAACCAGGGTCCTCATCCACCCTTATAGATGATCGTCCCTGCTCCAGGCAATTATCACAGCACTCAAAGCTCACAAATACAAAGGGACAAGAATTCTGGAGTCAAGGGAAGGAAATATGGAAAACTACCACAAAAAGGAGGCATACTGCAATCTTGTTTTAAGGCACAGTCAAAATGTGTCAAATTACAATAAATTTTGCCCAAATTTGAGCCATTTTTTTTTCTTATTTGGCTAAATCCTTTTTTGCAGTGTAAGCACAATCAATCTTTACGTAAAAAATTGGACTTAGACCAGGGGTGACCAATTATATCTTTCGGAAGGCACATATCGGTACATTTGTGGAAGGGCCGGACTCGTTTTTGAAGTAGTTGCCATTTGCTTACTATGGAACATATTTGTGATAACAAAAATGTCTGTCCATGAAGTTGAATTGAAAAATTTTTTTTGCCTTAAAAAGCCCCTTCTAAGCATCAGGCAATTTTGTCTTTTGTTTTTGACTTACTTCCAGGCCACCGCCCAGGACATTCACCGATGGCGCAGCCCGGTGGACGTCTCCTCCTGTTGGGGTAGTTGTCGATGTATGCCGATCGGGCTGCTGGAGCACGATACTGACTCCCAGAGGGCTTCCACAGAGTGTAAGTGTGAAGCACACGTCCACGAGAAGTCCTGCGTCGTCCGAGGAGGAGACGCTTGCTGCTCCGTCGCTCCTTCGAACATTGGGGCCCAGCCGGGTCAAGCTAACAACACAGTCAGTTGCATTCAGCTTTCCTTGTTTTAGTGCATTTCACAGAGCAAGATATTTTTCCACAGGATTGAATCGTACGCTGCGCTTGACATAGCACTGCCAGAACTTCTGAAACTACTGGAACTCATCCGTTCTTATTCCGAAATTTATTAGTTCTACCAGAATTATTCAAAGTAACTGATTATAATTAGATAGAAAAAAAATATCTAAACCGTTTTATTAAGTTTTAAAAACCTGGTAAAATCATAACTTAGAAATACAGCTTTAATGAAACAGATTATTCACCAGGCTAAATTGCCTAACGGTTAGTGTGTAAACAGTGAGTTGCTAGTGTACTAACCATTGGCTGTTCTCTGGTCGGAAAACACAAGCTGGATCGGCTCAGAACCCAGAATCTAATCCAGAGCCAATTCTCAGACCAGGTTTCAGGGACAGCACCTTGACTGCAATAGATAAAATGTTATGCAAAGCTATCTGTTAATCATGCAAAGTTTACAATCTTACCCAGAATTTCCAGAAACTTCAACGAGTCTACACAAACTCTAAAGGTTGTGTAAGATCGCTTTGTAAGGAAAGGTCCTCGTTCTACAGCCCTCGATTTATTGTCTTCATGGGTTTATTAGAGTATCTTCTTGCCGATGACAGGGCCGTGCCCGCCTGATGCTCCCAGGGAACTTCCCCCCGACAATCAAGAAGAAATGGACTTTAAGATTGACAGACATTGATCTTTGCCCCAAATGGAAACCAATGGCTCTATGGGTGTGTGTTTCATAGCATTTTATTGTGTATTGATTCTATTATTCTAAGTGTTGGCAAATTTGAGTTGTGTAAAGTCCTACAACCGTTGGGTTTAGCGGCTATACAAAAATAATTGAATAGATAGGTTATGTTGGCACTTGTTAGCTTTGGCAATAGAATAATATTACATGATGGCGGTCGGTTTTCTCTGTACCTTCTACTAAAACACATTTTACTACTAAAAAATTAATCACAGCTGATAGGGTCATTACCTGTGATCCTCCCGATGGTTCCTTGGACGAAGGTTCCAGCGTAGCCCGCCACCAAGATGCGCGCGAGCTTTTTACACGATAGTTTGCACATTTCCCCAGCGGCATTTCTGCTCAGCATGCGGGGGAGAAGAAGGACAACCTTTATACAAATCAGTGTGCCAAAGTGGAATCCTGCTCGAAGCCAGCAAGCCCTGAGACAGCAAGCCAGTCTGTGTAGTCAGTCACGATCACATTCTGGGATTTTACCGAACTCAACATCCACGCACCATCTGCCCCCGGTTTGTCTCCATGAAAAACCTCTTTGTTTGGGTTTACAAACCATCGGCAGTGGGGTTTTTCCTCTACGCTAATTTTGGCACAACCGGGCATTAACGAGGGCCGCTACAGTACGTTGCGAGCTGGGTAGCACAAAGTAGAGCTTTTATTCTGGGCCAATTAGAATCGGACAGTGTTCCCCTTTCTGTTTGTATTGCTTGTCAAATGATTTTTTTGCTCCTGGACACGCAACGTGCTGTTGCTTTAAGCTGAGGAATCGTGACAGCTCCACCAAATCAACTGAGGCACATGAGAACGCCGCGTATCCGTTTTAGTAACAGGCCTAAATACTATGGGAACCTTGAGGATTTTATAAGCCGCACGGAAAGGCAGGGAGGCAGCCAGTCAGCGAAAGACCATGGCTTGGAATGCCATTGGGGAAAAACAATGTATTTATAAAAACCCACAAGCTTAAGGCCTTCAGTGCGCAGCGCTCAAGTTTCGCCGTTTTAAGACAAGAATCAGAATTGGGATGTCGTTGTTTCAGTTTTGTGTGGGAGAGAAAGGGTATTTGAGGTATGGATGGTAACTCCTTAAAACTTTGAGAACAAATTAGATTGAATGGAAAATATTTTATGCTCTTTCTTCCCATTGGACAAATAATATTCAAATCTAATCTATATTCAATAGAGATAGCAGAATTATAGAATATAAGAGAATAGGATAGAGACAGGAATCGAGTCTGATACATGTCATCACTTCGGCACAGATCTAACTCACTAGATTGTGCAAAAAATACAAAAGTGTGCAGCATTATGCAATCTATACTTATTAAAAATGTATAACCTATTTCTCCTTCCCTTAATGGAATCAAATCAATCCAAATGCCATTTATCGAGTCTCTAATACACTTCCTCTCTCTCCTGGAAGCCAGTCCAACATGTCGGCGATTCCTGTCCCACTCACCGCGTATATGGTTGTCCGGCGTCCGGGTACAGCTGCTGGGCCATGGGGATCCAGTCCACCACCCCCACGTTGGCATTGGGTTCTCCCCTCTGCATCACGGGCCCGAGACCAGCTTCGTTGCTCATCCAGTCTCAAACATGACATCATCTCGCGAAGACTTCCGGTTATGGCTGCTTGGTAAGAGGTCGCACGTGTGAGTGGCTCGCAACAAAATCCTTCAGATTTATCCTTAACTTTTGACCAACTATCATTTTGACGCATTTTCGTGTTTAGTATTTTTTTGTTCATCATGCCACCACCTAAAGGTGCCACACCAGGCCAACAAACTACAAAAACAACCAGATCGAACAACGGCGCTAATGTTGCTAATGCTAACGTTGCTACAGCTAATGCTAACAAAGCTACGCAGCCGCCGCATCTGACCCACTTTGAGGGCGCTGCTCGAGAGACAACTACTAACAGTGAAATCCTCAACGCTATCCACTCATTACGAGTCGACATGGAGAAACATTCTGCTGACACACTGGAAGCCATCAGAAGTGTGAAAGGGGATGTACAGGCGCATTCACAAAGACTCGATGAGGCTGAGGAGCGGATATCACGGGCTGAAGATGATGTAGCCTCTCTCCAAGGTAAAGTTCAACAACTTGAGCAAACTATTACCGACTTATCCAGCAAGATTACAAGTTATGAAGATAGAAACAGACGCTCTAACCTCCGGTTGGTGGGACTACCCGAAAAATCTGAAGGCAAAGACATGTGCGGATTTCTGGAGAAATGGCTCACAGACGCGCTCGGTGGTTGTTTTACTTCACCTCCCATCATCGAGAGAGCGCATAGAATTGGACCATACAGCCCTAAAGCTACGACGGCGAGAGTACTGATCATGAAGTTCCTGAACTACCGGGATCGAGAGGCCGCCATGACCGCTGCCAGAAGAATGAAGGAGATTTTCTACAAGGACCATCGGCTGAGTTTGTTCCCTGATCTGTCTCCAGAGACCCGCCGCCAGCAGCAGCGCTTCGACGGCGTAAAAGCAAAGCTGCGCGCTCTGAATATCCGCTATGGGATGCTATACCCGGCCCAACTGATGATCACACACAACGAAAGGCGTATCATCTTCAAGTCGGACGAAGAGGCTGAAGATTACGTTAAGAAAATGAGACAACCAGCTGCTGACGACGATGGAGACTGAGCTCAGAAACTCCTTCTTTTTTTTTTTTTTTTTTTTTCTCTCTGAGGAGCGGACCGTCACTGTGAGGCAAGAGCCGTATAAGATGTTCTAATGGACCTATAAGTAAGTGACTGGCTTGACTATACATATTTTACGATATACATTTTATTTCACTACTATTTCTAGTTTCCATTTGACCTGCTTTTACACCAGGGGCATATTCATACTTTTATTTTTATTTTATTTTTTGTTTGGTCAAAGTTCTCCTGTTGGGGGGCCGGTATGGGCCGCTGGTTTTCCTGCTGGTCGGTGCTGGTTTTCTCAACGGAGACTACTGTTATTGCGAGCACACCGGTGTTGTTATGTGTGCGCAGTTGTACGTTACCCACAGTGTGGATGAAACGTCTTGTTTAACCCAAGTTCTTAGTCTAGAAGGGTTCACGGTCACATTTCGTTTGGGGAAATGTGCGGGGTTTTATTTTGGGAGCTTCACTCAAGGTCGTTTGTATTTAAGGTGTCTACAAAACATGGATGTGAAACTGAAAAGGGTACAGCCACTCTCTTTTGGCATAATAAAATAAAAAGTTAATTGTATTATGTCGGGTAGCTCCACTATAAATGTGGCCACTTGGAATGTACGTGGCCTAAATAAAATTGTTAAACTTAAGCAAGTATTGGGTAGAATAAAGCAGATGAAGACCACAATATGCTTTTTACAAGAAACTCATTTGCTGGAGAAAGATATTAACCGGGTGAGATCCCGATGGCCTGGACAGGTATTCTTCTCTAGTTTTTCCTCTCATTCTAGAGGTGTCATCATACTGATCCACAAGTCAATTCCGTTTCAATTAAGAGATAAATACTTGGATCCTTCTGGGAGGTTTATTATTCTTAGTGGTACTATAATTTAAACTTTAGTCAATCTGGTTTGTTTATATGCCCCTAATGGGGACGATCCTGCTTTCTACCAACATTTCTTCCTAACTATTTCATCTTATAGTGGCCAGTACATCATTGGAGGTGATTTTAACTGTGTGATTAATCCTACAATGGACAGATCAAATACCTCTGACACCTCCCACCAACAAGCAAGAAAAACTATTGGGAAATTCATGAGAGACCTTAATTTGGTGGAGATTTGGAGACATATTTACCCTGATAAGGCAGAGTTCTCATGTTTCTCCAGCACGTACAAAACTTATTCGCGTATAGATTTTTTTTTGGTCTCCTCCAGTCTGGTATCTCTGGTTCAGAAATGTTGGTACGAAACTATTCTACTCTCTGATCATGCCCCAGTTATTTTATCCATACAGATACCCAATTTTAGTTCCCATCCACTCCCATTTCGATTCCAAGCGAAATGGTTGAAATCTGTTGAGTTTGAAGAATTTCTAGAAGGGAAGATAACAGATTATTTCTCCTTCAATACAAACCAAACCAGTGCATCGATAAAATGGGAGGCATTTAAGGCCTATATAAGGGGGGAAATAATAAGCTACACTAGAAGTAAATCAAAAATGCATTTGAGTAAACTAAAGAACCTTGAAAAACAAACAAAGGAATTGCAAGACCAATTATATCATCAAGATGACGCTGACAAATATAAGAAACTTCTATTATTAAAGTCTGAATATAACGAACTCAGCGCTAACAAAATAGCTACAAACTTATTGTGGTTGAAACAGTCCTACTATGATCAGGGTGAGAAGGCAGGGAAGCTCCTGGCCTGGAGGCTCAAAAAAATACAATCAGATAGAGCTATTAACTCAATTACACTGGACGATGGAGAAAATGTTGTAGACCCAACACGTATAAACAATGCTTTTGCTAAATATTATGAAAATTTGTATAAATCTGAATATCCTGAAAATGAAAATCCACAGAATCAATTTCTAGATCAACTGCAATTTCCAATCCTACCTGAAGAGACTAAAAATAACCTCGATGAAAAACTGAGTGTAGAAGAACTTAAAGAGGCACTTGGTCATATGAACAGTGGCAAGGCCCCAGGCCCTGACGGACTCCCAATTGAAATTTATAAGAGATTCTCTGACAAATTATTGCCACACCTCCTTGAAATGTTTAATGAATCCTATGAAAAAGGTATTCTACCACAGTCTTTGAGAATGGCCTCCATTTCTGTCATTCTAAAACCAGGTAAAACTCCAACAGAAATGGGTTCATATCGCCCCATATCACTAATGTCCTGTGACACTAAAATATTGTGCAAGGCCTTGGCTCGCAGGATTGAATCACACACTCCAAAATTAATTTCTAATGATCAAAAATGGATTTATTTTGGGCCGCCAAGCCTTTCATAATATTCGTCGACTTTTGAATATATTGTACGAAAAACAATCTGCCACTGACCATGCCTTTTTGTCATTGGATGCAGAAAAGGCGTTTGACAGAATAGAATGGAGATACCTTTTTGAAACCCTCAAAAGATTTGGTCTGGGAGAAAAATATTTGAAATGGGTCCGAATATTATACACGGAACCGACTGCTAAAATTGTAACAAATAGTCAGTTGTCTACACCTATACAACTTTGTAGATCCACTCGACAGGGCTGTCCCCTTAGCCCACTGTTGTTTCTTTTTGCCATTGAACCGCTTGCTATGGCTATACGCAACTCCCCCGAGCTGACTGGGATAAAAATAGGACAAACTGAACATCGGTTATCCCTTTTTGCGGATGATATTGTTTTATTTTTAACTAACTTGGAGAAGTCAGTTCATGCAGTGGGAAATATTTTGCAGACTTTTGGTCATTTCTCTGGATACAAAGTTAACCAGAAGAAAAGCTCCCTGTTATTTCTGAACAAAAACAACCCTCCTATCCAAACACAATTTACCTGCACCTACGAAGGTTTTACCTATTTGGGAATCCAGGTTAACCCGGACATAAAGAAAATTGTTTCTATCAATTATGACCCTCTAGTTCAAAAGGTTTTAGAATCATTAGAGAGATGGGACACGATGCCAATCTCCATGATAGGTCGCATTAATATTATAAAAATGTCGATTCTTCCAAAGTTTCTATATCTTTTTCAATCTATTCCCCTACATATTCCTGCCTCTTTGTTTTCATTATTAAATAAAAACTTTACCAAATTCATATGGAATAATAAACGGCCCAGGTTACGGCTTTCTCTTCTATATTTACCTTTCGACCGAGGGGGGCTTAGACTGCCTAACATGAAGCTGTACTACTGGGCAGCTCAATTTTGTGCCGCTACTTCGTATTTTTCACGTAAGGATATTCCTTCTTGGATACAAATTGAAAACAACACAATAGAATTGCCATTAAAATCCTATATTTACTCAGCTGAAATTAAACAGCTGCTAAAAAACACAAAAAATCCAATTGTCAGAAACACTGTTTCGATCTGGCACCTGGCACATGTTGCTTTGAATGAGGAGTTTAAGCTTTCAACTCTGTCACCCATTTGGGGCAATGTTACATTTAAACCTGGACGTGCGGATATGGGCTTTAAAATGTGGATGAATAAAGGTGTGTGTAAACTAGGGGATTTGTACAATGATGGAGTTCTAATGTCTTTTGAACAGTTGACAAACAAATACGACTTGCCTAAGAAACTTTTTTTAAGTACCTTCAGGTCAGAAGTTTTGTTACTAATTTATTGAAGTCGACTGTGCAGCCCCCACTGTCCACTATAGAGAATATGGCTGTTAACCATCATCACAGTAGGGGCTTACTTTCCAAATTTTATAATATTTTAATTGCAGCCTCAAAAGAAAGTAGTCTTTCATATTTACAAGCCTGGAGATCTGATATGGAAACAGACATTTCAGTTGAAGAGTGGAATAACTCCTGTATTCTTGCACAAAAACAAACTATCAACACAAGATTCGATTAGTACAGTACAAGTGGTTATTTAGAACCTACATCACACCAGTGAAACTCCATCATTTCAACCCTAATATACCAGATGATTGTGTCAAATGTGGTAAAGAAAAGGGGACACTTTATCATTGTATGTGGCAGTGTGAGGAACTTCAAATCTTTTGGAAGCAAATTTGTGCACTAATTTCTGATTTAATTGAATGTAAAATGCCCTTAGATGGTAAACTCTGTATATTGCACATTTTTCCAAATAGCTTTAAATGCAATACAAAGAACAAGAAACTTGTAAATTTTTGCCTGGTGCAGGCGAAATATGTCATTGCTTTAAAATGGAAGGACACAGAAAAACCTGGAGTGAATCAGTGGATTAAACTCATGTCCAGTAACTTGGCGCTGGAGAAACTGACATATATTGCCAAAGGAAAACTGGAGGACTTTAAAGACATTTGGTTGTCCTTTCTACGCCTTGTAAAAGACTTTGATTTGTAGAAAATAATTTTGTTGTAATTGAGTGAAGGGTGGGTTTGAGGGTGGGGGGAGGGTCTTTATTTAATTTTTCTTATGTGTGTGTTATATATTTTGTCCTTAAATTGAAAATTATAATAAACATATTTGTGAAAAAAAAAGTAATACCCTATCCAGTTAATATAATAGATCCATGGGTCCCGCCCACAAGAAAATTGTGAAAAACGCATCTGCGCATGCGTCAGCCGGCGCAAGCTCCATTCATTTGAACGAGAGACTAAGGGTGTATTCAGACCTGAAAAGTCCTTTGCTCCGCTTGCTTGATCCGAATCAAAAGCGGACCAAACTTTTTTCTTTTGCTCCGGTTCGTATTCAGACTGTCCTTTTTGCAAGTGAACTTTTTTATATAAACATATTGACACACATATTGACCTCCTGTGGACTCACCACCTGCAGAGGGTCAGTGAGGGGCTGGTGCTATGAGACTTGGGTGGCATCTCTGACTGTCACCCCCCTGACCCAGAAATGGATTAAAGGGTAGAAAATGGATGGATGGATGGATATTGACACGTGTGACGATCGGCGCTCCTATTGGACAGAGAGAGCTCACGGAGGATAGACGCGGAACCGGAGGAAAACATTGCGGGCTCGTATGTGCAGCATGTCTGCTCTGCCTATCCTCCTGAGA